GATTTTGGATGTGGTCCGGTGATGTCCAGAGCTACCCTTTCCCATGGCATGCCCGACAACATTATTTTCATTTTTGCTTGCCGTGGTGGCTTAACCCGGTAATATCGACAGCATTCCTCGCACGTCTTGACAAACATCTCAACGTCAGTTTTCCATGTTGGCCAGTAAAACCTTTGTTGAATGGATTCTCTCAGTTTACTCACTTCTAAATGTCCACCTGTCATTCCTGTATGGGCAGTTAATAATACAGAGTTAATCATATTTGCAGGCACCCAGGCTTGCCAAACCACATCTCCAGTCTCTGTTATTTCGAACCGTATACATAAGACTCCGTCTTTGATCACTAGGCGGTCCCATAGGTTTCAAAGCGTTTTAAACGTCCTATCGTCACTTGATATGTCGTCCCAGGGCGGTTTGGCAGCATTTTCCTGCAACCACTTAACAAAAACCTGGATTGTTTTATCCGCATATTGACCCCCTCTCAGGTCGATAAATTAGTTTGCTTCTTTAACCTGTTTCACCGCTCGTGTTTCTGGTGTTTCTGGCTTGCAGCACTCTTTTTTACACGGTTTCCGAGACATGGCATCTGCATTACCATGTTTCGTACCTGTCCTGTAGATAATATTAAAATCAAACTCCTCCATTTGTTCTAACCATCTTGCCTGTTGATCAACAGGGTCGGGTGTGTTTCTCAACCATGTCAGCGGTGCATGATCCGTTCTGATGGTAAAATGCCTACCCACAAATATTGCTTGAAGTATTTTAAAAAGTAAACGACTGCTAGCAACTCTTTTCGCGTGGTGCAATAATTTTTTTCAGCTTGACTCAGGGTTCGACTAGCATACGCAATTACCTTTTCTTTGACAACTAATTCTGCAACTGCGACAATACCGCTCCAATAGTTTGCTGAGAAGCATCAGTGTCCAGAAAAAAAGATCTATCGTCTTGTGGCATAGCTAAAACCGGTGCGGTTGTCAACGCAGACTTCAAATTTTCGAAAGCTTTTTGCTGCTCCAATCCCCAGCTGAATTTTTGTTTGTTCCTTAGGAGAAAGTTCAACGGTTTTGCCAATTGTGAAAATCCACGAACAAAACGTCGATAATATCCAGCTAAACCTAAAAATCTTTTAACATCCGTCAAAGAAGTTGGTATGGGCCAGTCCCGAACAGCTTCCGTTTTCGACGGATCTGTTGCTATTCCTTTTGAAGAGATAATATGCCCCAAGAATGTAACGGCTTCCTTGAGGAATCTACATTTCTCTATTTTGACTTTCAGTCCTGTGTTTCTCAACCTGCTAAAAACTTGTTTTAACTTAAAAAAATGATCCTGCAAATTATTAGAATATACAATTATATCATCGATGTATGCCAAACATGTATTCGGGCTCAAGTCCGAAAGCACTATATCCATCAAGCGCTGAAAAGTAGCGCCAGCGTTACATAACCCAAACGGCATTCGTTTGAACCTAAAAATGCCTTTGTTACAGACGAAAGCAGTTTTTCCCTATCATCTGGATGCATTTCTATTTGGTGATAAGATGATTTAAGATCAAGAGTAGAAAACCACCGCGCACCTGACATCGCGTCTAGACACATGTCTATTCTAGGAAGTGGGGACGCGTCCTTTACTGTTAACAAATTTAATTTTCAGTAATCAATACAACATCGGTAGGAGCCGTCTTTTTTCTTT